AAGTTAAATGATGTTACATCTAAATTTTGGATTGTTGATTCAGGTGCTTCCAATCATATGACCAACTCAACGAGCATCCTAAAAAATATTCGTAAGTATCAAGGTCTATCACAAATACAGATTGACAATGGTAGTAATTTAGCCATCACAACATTTATTCCTTTAATTCTACAACAAATCTATATGATAATACTAATTTATAACACTATAATATTACATTAATATATATACAACTATTTAGCTGTCCATCATGTTAACAAAGGCCACACAAACCAGCCAAGAATTCAGAACATTTGTCTCTGTTCTGTCCAATTGTCACTACTTAAAGAACAAAGGCTTCTAGGATCATCAAAGCTCCAAGGAACCTAATGGAGTCATGTATGTTTTCTTGATTATGTACACAAACAGTGAAAATCGTGTAGTTTCACAATCCAAATGTAACGTTTACATAATATGATTACAGTATATGACTATTTAACTTCTTACAAGACATGCCTAAATTTCCAAGAATTTGAAAAATAACAAAAAGTTGTTTTCACTTCAATAGTAGAGAATAAGGACTTCATCATGACTCACTTGATCAATTGGAGAGAAAATTCCAAAAGCAAACATATACTTTAACTTTTTATCTACATTTCTTTGTCTGCCCTATGGAATCAAATTTTTTGAAATGTTATCTAATCAAACACTCCCACTTTAATAATGACCCCACTACTTTTTTAGTTTTCATTTTCGTATACCATATTCTCTGTTATTCCACTTAGTCAATTGGAGAGAAAATTCCAAAAGCAAACATATACTTTAACTTTTTATCTACATTTCTTTGTCTGCCCTATGGAATCAAATTTTTTGAAATGTTATCTAATCAAACACTCCCACTTTAATAATGCTCTCATTATGAAAGGCCTTTTTTTCTTTTTCTTTTTGGACACCTGATATCCGGTATATAAATACACTATAATCTATGTTTAATTCTTTTTATTGAATTAAAGTTAGATCAAACAATTACTTAAATGGAGTTTTGTTATAATTTATTATGTGATTTTATAATTTTTTGAATAAATAATTGAGGCTATTTTAATAGTTTTACAACTTATGGCATTCTTATTTTTATGAGAAAGTATACAACACAAAAATTTCATATCGCATGTCTAAACAAAACTTCAATTTAATCTCATGATTTCATATTATGATATCATATCATAATTTCAAATCATGATTCCATATCACATGACCAAATGAGCCGTAACAATTAACTAGTGTTGATACCACTGTTGCTTTTATGGTTGGTGTCCGTCATATCGCATGACCAAATGAGCCGTAACAATTAATAGTGTACCTACCTGAAAGTCGTGCTATTATCAGTTTTGAATTTCCTCTTTTGTACTCATTCACTCTCAACCTATTTTCATTCTACCTTTGCTTCCTTGTAACTAAGAAATATGGAATTGTTATCTATTTTGGTGGGGAAAGTCAGTGGTTGCTTGATGAAGCCAGTGGAGCGAGGGATTGCGTATTTCTTTTACTACAACACTAACATCAAAATTACAGAGGAGCTAACTAAACTTCAAAATTCACCATGGTTGTTAAAAGGCAAACATGTATTTGTTATTTAGTCTTTCAAAATAGTACATGTCAAAATAGTAGTACCTCAAAGTTGTTCTGCAATTATTTTTTAGGTTTCACATCTGATATTCGATATTTGAATTCACACGTTCCACTTTGGAGGTAAAATATTTCTTATCAAAGACATGTTATTTAAACTCGAAATATTAGTTATTGTGCAATTATTTTTTAGATTTCACACTTGATATTCGATATTTGAATTCACACGTTCCACTTTGGAGGTAAAATATTTCTTATCAAAGACATGTTATTTAAACTCGAAATATTAGTTATTGTGCAATTATTTTTTAGATTTCACACTTGATATTCGATATTTGAATTCACACGTTCCACTTTGGAGGTAAAATATTTCTTATCACAAGTTGGTGGCAACATAAATTAGGTGTTCTTCTTTAGAGACGTGAGTTGTTAGCTAAAAATTATAATTTTAAAACTAACTATTGTCAACTTACTTTTATCTCCCAGGTTTCCACACTAGCCTTTGCCAACTTATTTTTAACCCATGCAAGTTTGCAAAATTTTAAAAACTAAACTTATGTAGCGTTGTATCAACTTTTTACTTAGCTATTTCACAATTTATTAAGTTTGAAGTTTATTTTAAAAAAAATAGTCATTACCATTTCTAAATAATAATTTTCCTATCCCGTTAGATCGTCTAAAAGTATGTGTACGCCTTATGTGACGTCCTACTTGACAATTCATGTGGGAATATTCTAACTGATTTGTATATGTCACATAGGACACGTGTGTCTATCGTTAATTTTTATACAAGTTTAAATATATCTATTTGTGCACACTCAAAATTGAATGGATAAAAGATGTCAGTTGAGGTCACGTTAAATGACATATTTATGTATTTTTCTATTTTTTACAAGACAAGTAATAGTAGCTAAAAAAAATTAAAATTCACAAATGAAAGAATTCGAAATTTTAAATCAGACAAAAGGTTCATGACATGTACATATAATTTTGTGGGTAACGGCCATGAAAAAACATTTTACTTGAAATTTCTAAAGTTGAAATTGTGTTTGAACATGTTTAGTTGGGACATTGATATTTTCAAACAAAAAAAATACATACTTTATAATTTTTGCAAAACATCTAATTTTTTTTTAAGAATACAAGGGAGTTAAGGTTAATATTGCACTATGCACCATAAGATTTTTAAACACGAATACACCACTAAAAAAATAAGGAACAAGTATACTGAGTGGGAATTGATCCCTAGCAGTTGTTCTACAATTATTTTTTAGGTTTCACACCTGATATTTGATATTTGAATTCACACGTTCCACTTTGGAGGTAAAATATTTCTTATCAAAGACATGTTATTTAAACTCGAAATATTAGTTGTTGTGCAATTACTTTTTAGATTTCACACCTGATATTCGATATTTGAATTCACACGTTTGGAGGTAAAATATTTCTTATCTTGGTGGCAATATAAATTAGGTGTTCTTCTTTAGAGATGTGAGTTGTTAGCTAAAAATTATAATTTTAAAACTAACTATTGTCAACTTACTTTTATCTCCCAGGTTTCCACACTAGCCTTTGCCAACTTATTTTTAACCCATGCAAGTTTGCAAAATTTTAAAAACTAAACTTATGTAGCGTTGTATCAACTTTTTACTTAGCTATTTCACAATTTATTAAGTTTAAAATTTATTTTTAAAAAAATAGTCATTACCATTTCTAAATAATAATTTTATTTCATTTTAAAATCCCACTAAAGCCCCAACCCATTCCCTTAGTTAGTGGGATAGGACGGGTCTACCATCTATCGGATCCACCCCCCCCCCCCCCACCCCCAGGCCAGCTAATGTCCCGATCCCCCTAGTCTCCTTAATTTCCTATCCAGTTAGATCGTCTAAAAGTATATGTATGCGTATGTTACGCCTTATGTGATGTCCTACTTGACAATTCATGTGGGACTAATTATTATTATAAAAATATTATTTATCATATTTGCTTGGAAAATGGTAATACATACATAAATAAAATATTAAAAAAGCACGTCCAAAATACATAAAAATGAAAAGAAACTTGAGAATGAAATACTTCTTACCTTCATATACTTCTTTTTTGTTGCATGTTAGTTAATTCACAAACCAATATAATAAAGAAGAGAATATAATCTTGAATGAGAATCTTCATGAAACTAAATATGAATTTATATAGGTAAAATAGAGGAAATGAAAATAAAGACTTGAGAATGAAATGTTTCTTACCCCGTGTGCTTCTTTTTCAATTTGTTACATGTTAGTTAATTTACAAACTAATATGATGAATAAGAGAAAGAATATTTTTGAATGTGAATCTTCATGAAAATAAAATATGTTATGAATATTATTAAAAGTAAAAATTAAAGAGGTGTAAGTGATGAGTAATTACTCTTTGTGCATAAATAAATTAAATAGTAATGAGAAAAATACTTAAAATATTTTTAAAAAAAATATCATTTTATGATTAGAAGAATGTCAAAAAAAAATATCATTTTGTAAGGCATCCATTCTAAGAATTTAAGAAACTTAAGGTTAATATTGCACTATGCACCGTATGATTTTTAAAACACGACAACATTAAAAGGAATAAGGAAATAGAATACCATGTGAGAATTAATCAGTAGCCTTCTAGTTAAATAACTCAACATCCAACAAATGCATCATTTAGCGTTAGTAATATTATACTAATTTTTTTTTAAAATGTTTCCAAAAAACAACTCATTTTATGTTGAAATTACAAATTCAAATGCCTTAATTTTTAACGTGTAAATTAGTCGTTGGTGTTAAAAGGCAAACATGTGTTTGTTGTTTAGTCGCTTTCAAAATAGTACATGTCCATGTGACGAGAGTTAATAGTAGTACCTCAAAGATCTGCAAATATCTTTTGGGTTTCACGCCTGATATTCGATATTTGAATTCACACGTTCTATTTTGGGGTTAAAATATTTCCTATCAAAGGCATGTTACTTGAACTCGAAATATTTGGCTAAAGAAGAAATAGTAATTACCATTCTACCACAACTTTTAGTAATAAGGTCTCCCCTTTTACTAGTACCTTTTAATACACTAGTCCTGGGCACGTGCATTGCACGTGTGTCCCATACTAAATTATGTGGAATTGTTATGACGATATATATATACTTGAACATGTATGTTGCCCATGTATCTCATTCTTAATTAGTACAAGAACTTTGAAAACATTATAATTTGTGCGTGATAAGTTGCACAAAAATTGAAGATTTGCATACGTAATAAGAAGTTGTTGTCGAATGAGAGTAGTGTTTTGCAAAAGTTAAATAGAAATCTGATCAATCTATGTCTTCCTTAAGATGGATAGGAGATGATCATTATGTGATAACTTGCATAGTGATTGAAGAGAAAAAATACAAGCTCAAACCAATGAATGGTTAGCCTATTCAATAAAAAATTATTATTAGTAGAAGGTACATTATGCTGAAATATTGCTATCAAGTGAATTTCAAAAGTAATATTCGAACAATTTTAATTATGTATTTATTTAATATATCAAGTATTCAACTTGATAAAAGTTTTGTTAATATGTCACAACACATAATTTAAGTATCTCTTATGGGTAAAATATTTCATGTTCTAAAATTTTTGCCTTCTTTCTAAGAAACTGTAGCCTCCACCTTATAAATCACATACAGGTCAAGAAGTTGTTATCGAATGTGAATTGTGTTTTGTAAAAAGTGCACATAAATTCGATCAACACATACCTTTCTTATGATAGCTAGTGGATTATTATCAATTTTTTGGTGTACACCTACAAAAAAAAAAAAAAAACACAACCTTTCTTATGATAGCTAGTGGATTATTATCAATTTTTTGGTGTACACCTACAAAAAAAAAAAAAGGGAGAATGCATAAGTACCCCCCCAGCCTATGCCTAAAATCCCTGAGACACACCTATCTTGTGGGCCCAGCGCATGTTGACAATTTTGTTAAGGATAGTGCCACGTAGGCCGAAAAGGGGTAGACAATTATATATAAAATAAGTTTGGGGGGGTAATAGGACCTTAGTAAAGGTTAGGTGTGTCTCAGGGATTTGGGGCTTAGGCTGGGGGGTACTTATGCATTTTCCCAAAAAAAAATAGTATTATTAGTGACAAAAATAATAATTGCTCAAATATCTAATCGATGTATATAAATCATAATTATTATAGATACATGTACCCCTTGCCTAATTCAAAATTATTATATGGTAGATTGGTAAAGAGTAGACAAAAGAAACAAAATAATATCAGTAACATATATATCTGATAACAATGTTTTGAGGCAAAGGGAGATAAATAGATTATTAGAAAAGGTAATACATAGGAAGATAGAAAATAGAAATAATTAATAATAACCAAGGTAATTTACATTGTATTACAATGAATTTGAAGCGTATGTAATTAATTTATAATGGTGAAAATAAATTGCACACTCTAAAAAGTAACCAAACTTTATCACTAAAACTATGAATTAAATTAACTATTTGTAGTTCTTTTTATAAAATCATGAATTGACAATCACTTCTATATGAAAAAAGAAGGCAAAGGAATGGTGATTACATTAGGAAATAAATCATTGTTATATTTTTAAGAGTGAAATCGAAAATTGGAAAATGAGAAAGGAGGACTACAACAATCATATGCAAAATTCAAATGTGCTTACAATATAAATCAACTCTAAATATGTCTTTTTCACGATATTTGGAATGTCTTTTACTAATATTTCTTTGAAGGAACTACCACTCCAATTATGAAACCCCATAAACAGTAAAAAAAAAAAATCAAACTAAGAAAGCATCTATATTATTAAAAAATCAGGGATGAATTATAAATGCGCATACCTTATGATTTACAAATGAGAATAATATGGAAGAAAAAGTATTCACCTAAATGTCCTGTTATAAGCAAAGAAATACACTACATCAGACATGAAACATAAAAAAATAAATTAAAACGATGAAAATAAAATGAGGGAAAAAAATATATCATAATATTACGTTGCAACTGAAGTGAAGCAGCCCTATTACCTTATATGATAATTGCATTTATATAAATTATATTAAGTGCACAAAAAAGGAAAATGAAACGGTATATTCAGGAAGTGCTTTCATCTTCATTCAATATATATAATTATATAGAGTATTAACTTAAGATTTAATTGAGTAATAAATTGGGGAAGAGGAAAGATTAGATAATTTAGACAGTTTTTGGTATTGGGTAAGAGGAAAGGTTAGATAATTTAGAGAGTTATTGGTCTATTTTTTTTTTAAAAAAATGTAAATGAAGAAAGGAAAGGGTTCTTTTTCCTAACACAAAAAAACCAAAAGTTTTTAAGTATAAAAAAATATGATCTGATCGTTATCTCTTTGATTTTTTTATTTTCTATTTATTATTTTATTATACAAAACAATTAAAGCTTAATAAGTATAGAATTATATTACAACCATTTATTAAAAAATCTCTTTTTTAGTTGAAGGGTATTTTTGTAATTCAACTTTTAACTTGGGAGCTTCCCACTTATAATAATATATGATATATGATAAATATGTCTTTCAACTTGGTTTTCGCTAAGATATATGTTCTGCAACTCTTTTGGTGTGCATAAATAAACATTTAAATTTATGTTAAATTGAACATATAAATCATTAGTCTTACATGATATTCTATATAGTAATTTTGTGTCTTAAGGGTATTATATCACATAGGATGTGTGTGTCTACTTTTTTAATTTTATACAAATTTAAATAATATTTACTTGTGTATATCCAAAGTTAGATGAGATAAACATATGTTAAAGCCAAATTAAAAGGCGTATGTATTTATGCTTTATGTCTTTATTTTTTCATTTGTTCTGAAAAAAGTTTTTGGGGTGGGTGAGAGTTATAATGGAATAGTACAATTATTAGTCAAAAAGATCAGTATGCGTAAGTTGTTTAGTCACTTCCAAAATAGTAGAGTTAATCAGTTTTGAATTTCCTCTGATCTTTTATTCATTCACTCTCAACCTATTTTCATTCTACCTTTGCTTCCTTGTAACCAAAAAAATATGGAATTCTTATCTACTTTGGTGGGGAGTGTCACTGGTTGCTTGATGCAGCCAATGGGGCGAAGGATTGGGTATTTATTTAACTACAACACTAACATCACATCTATGGGAAATGAATCTGAGAAGCTGAAGAACATCAAACGTGACGTGCAGCAAAGAGCCGTAGTTGCCCGGAGAAACTTAAAAGACATTTCACCCAATGGCGAGACTTGGTTAGAAAGTGTTGATTCCACTATTGCACAAGTGGATGATTTAATAGGAGGTAGAGCTGAGGTTGAAAGGGGTTGCTTATATGGTTGGTGTCCAAACTTGAAGTCACGTTACTCCCTCAGCAGTAGAGCTAAGAAAATTACAGAGGAGTTAACTAAACTTCAAGATAATGTAATCTCCTTTGATCGTCCAGTTCAAAGTGAGGCTATATATAGTAACAATGGTGAGGTGTTGGACTCCAGAAAATTGAAAGAGGAAGAGGTCATGGAAGCTTTGAGAGATGAAGAGGTCACTGTGATTGGGATATGTGGTCTGGGTGGTGTTGGTAAACAACACTCGCTGAGAAAATCAGACAAAAGGAGAAACAACAAGGGTTTTTCAAAGATGTTGTCATGGTAACTGTCAGTCAACAACCAGACTTGAAAAAACTGCAGGGTCAGATCGCAGCAGGACTCGGGCTGACATTACAAGGGGATGATTTATGGAGTCGTGGAGATCAACTGCGTACAAGGTTAATGGATCAGAACAGCCGCAACCTTATAATCTTGGATGATGTTTGGGAGTCTCTTCATGATCTAGCCAAACATGGAATTCCCAGCGGTAGCAACCCCAACCATCGGTGCAAAGTGATATTGACGACGCGTTCCCGAAATGTTTGTGAAGAAATGGAAGCTAAGAAGATCATGGAAGTTGGAACGTTATCCGAAGAGGAAGCATGGTTCCTTTTCAGTCAGAAAGTCGGTGATTTTGGCAACGATCCTTCTCTGATTGACATAGCAAAAGAGGTTGCCAAAGAATGCAGGGGGTTGCCACTTGCAATTATTATAGTTGCAGGAGCACTTAAGCGTAAAACCAAGCCTTCGTGGGAGGATGCCCTTAGACAATTACGTCGTGCAGAAGCAAGAAATATCCCTGGAGTGCACGAAAAGGTGTATAAATCTCTGAGGCTAAGCTATGACCACTTGGGAGAAAATGATGCAAAGTACCTCTTTTTGCTTTGTTCATTGTTCCAGGAAGATAGTGATATTTGGATCGAAGATTTGCTTAAATATGGAATGGGGATTTGCATATTTTCAGGAATTGAAAATTTAGAAGATGCAAGAAATAGGTTGTGTCTTCTGTTAGAAATATTGAAAGATGGTTTCTTGTTATCCCAAGGTAGATACAAAAATATTGTGAATATGCATGATGTGGTCCGTGATGTGGCTATAAGTATTGCGTCTGAAGGAGAGCATAACTTTATGGTAAGTCACAATGTTAACTCGGAACAGTTCCCAAGTAGAACTTCTTATGAGCATTTCAGTCACATGTCAATTGTTGCAAATAAATTTGTTGAGCATCCTAGACCAATAATTTGCCCAAAACTGAAGTTTTTAATGTTGAAACTCCGTTTTGAAGATCCATTCATACTACAGGACGATTTTTTTGATGAAATGAGTAACCTCAATGTGTTGAGCCTGAGGGGACACAGATTTGAGGAGTCCATTCTGTGTTTTCCAGCATACATTCGGAGGTTGTCAAGTCTGAGGACTCTGTGTCTGAGTAGTTTAAGGTTGGATGACATATCCTTTATTGGGGAACTTGTCGAATTAAAAATTCTCAGCATAAGAGATTGTGAGTTAGATGAGCTGCCAGAGGAGATAGGAAAATTGACCAAGCTAATTATGGTAGAGTTTTGGCATGGCTGTAGAGCACTTGAAAGGATTTCAGCAGGGGTGTTATCAAAATTACTAGCTCAATTGGAGGAACTACATTTGGTGGGAGTAGAAGATTGGAGTGATGTGATCTACAGTAACCTTGGCCTTCCCTCCAAGTTGACACGGTACACTCTTTATATGAGTCATTGGATTTCAAACATTTATGATTATGATTACGACAAGAGTATTGGTTTATTGGTCATGCGGACTGACCCATTGGGTGATTGGATCTGCCACCTGTTGAAGGAAGGCGAACTCATACATTCAACCGGGGAAGGCTCTAATAATGTGTTAACTGAGTTGCAGCTGAATGAATTTCAGAACGTTAAATTTCTCTGCCTCTTTAATTGTGATTTAGTGACACATTTATTGAAGACAACACATGAAGTAATCAAGTTCCCCAATTTATATCACTTGGAGCTTGAAAATCTGAAATGTCTGACTCACATTTGCAGTGACAATGTTGAGCGCATTGAGTTCCCTCTGTTACAAACAATGTTGAGGGCATTGAGTTCCCTCAGTTACGAACAATGGCCTTAACGGGATTACCTAAGTTCCAGAATTTCTGGCCTACAGCTAACAACTCCATCACTCACTCAAATCCTCTTTTTGATGAAAAGGTTAGCTTCTTATCACCAAAATGTTACCTTTTACTTGAGCATTAAAGATATTTACTTAAACAAAGTCTATTGCAATATAATATATCCTTTTTGTCTCCAGTGAAAAAATAATTTTAAATTAATTTTTTTAATTTCTTATTTAAAAAATCCATATAAGGCTATATTTGATGTGAATTTTTGTGGTCTTCTTATTCAACGGTTTATTTAAGTTATAAATATCTCCCTTATAGATCTATTAACTTATCATTATTTGAGTTTCATATTCTTATTTTATTTTAGTGTGAAAATAAATAGTTATGAAAAAGAAGAAAAAAATAAGAACAAATTTCAAGACTATTTTTTTTTTGCAGCTATATTGTAATTTATTTTTTGAAAAAGGGTCAATAATGCCTTAAATTACGTGAAATAATAAAAAATGCCCTCAATTTATAGTTTAGTCCAAAATGTTCTTGCCCTCAATATTTTTGTCAGAAAATGTTCTTGCCGTTGATAGTTTGTTCTGGAAATGATCCTATTGTTACTACTTGACTCAAAAATATTTCTTTCCGCATAAATATATTATTTCTTTTCTTTTAAAACAAATTTTATTCCTATTAAAAGATATTACTTTTGAAGTACTCTATTATTGTTTTCTTTACTTTTTAAATTACTTTAACTATTAAAAAATGTACCCTTCAAACGGATAATATATGTCTGATATATAAGATCTTAGTAAATCAACCATTAATTTTTTATTTTGATATTTATAATAAAATAAGAAATATTTTTAATATAATTTTTTTCGAATTGAAGTAGTATAAACATTTGCTAATAAAAAAATATCATTAGGAAAAGAATGTGTTCAAAAAGAAAATAAATTGAAAAATGACATTTTTGCCTTATTAAGCAACAATAAAGGCATTTTAGACCATTTTTCGTTTATTTTTTATATTTGCAGAAAAATGGGACATCTATGATCAATTTTACAAGCAGATGAGTGAAACCCAAATTATTCATTGAATTAAGGGAAAATGGGAAAATATATTGCTCAATGTTGCGATTTTGAGTAAATATACCTCTTGTTAATAAAATTGGTGCATTTATACATCTACCGTCTAATATATGGTGCATATTTATCATTTTTGTTAATAAATTTATATTTATTTTATTATAAAAATATATAATTGTAATTTTTTAATTTAAAAATGTCATGTGCCTTTCAAAAATTATCTCTACCGCTCTAGACTCGGCCCAAATGGGAAAAAAAATACTAATGTATTTGAGATGCTAAAAATCTTTTTTTAAATATGAAACGAATCATATACAATTTTTTAATATATATTTGGCTAATTAAAAATGTATAAATAAATGTGTGTAAGCTGTTTTGGCTTCTCCACTTATGACCTAGTATTTTCTTCCCATAGCTCCAACTGTATCTGCAACAAAGTTTGATACTTCAAAGCTCGCAGGTTTCTTGTCCCAACCTGGAAAAGCTAGACATCAGCGGCCTTAAAAGCATAAGTGCTCTATGGTCTCACCAACTTCCAAATGACTACTTCACCAAACTTCAAACATTGAGAGTATCATGTTGTGGAAAATTGAAAAACTTGATGTCTCCATCAATGGCCAGAGGTCTTTTGAATCTCAAAAACCTAGATATAAGACACTATAAATCAATGGAAGAAGTGATCACAAAAGGAGAAGGAATCATGACCTTATTTCCCCGATTGGAAACCCTGTACCTTGGTGAGCTGCCTAAACTGGGGCATTTCTTTCTGACAGAGCATGCTCTTGAATTTCCATTTCTCAGGAAAGTGACTATTTGCAACTGCCCTGAAATGAAGACGTTTGTCCAACAGGGAATATCTGTGAGTACACCCAGTCTCACAGAGGTGTACATTGATTATAAGGAGGTGAAAGTAGATGATCTGAATAAATGGATACAGCAGAGGTTCAATAACAAGGTATGTCTTACTCCACTAGCTATATAACTAATTGCTACATGATATTCTAATTAGGTTCTACTGCTCTCTTTCCGTTTTAGATACTTATTTAAGCTAGTCATCTCTCTCTTCTTTAGCATTCTCTGTTTCCTGCAGGAACAAGAAGCTAGTGATCATGCCGAAGCTGAACCTAGTCATGCCAGACGTTAGGAAACTGGTAGGAAAAACTCAATGACACAATGCAAGTAAAACCTTGAACATCACCTGATACAAATGCTCGTGATGGAGGTAATTAACAAGCAGAGGCGGATCTACTTGATATATGGTTTATGTTTGGAATAAATGTTTAATGTTAAAATAAAGTGATGGAGCTTTTGAATAAGCATCGAGTACTTAAAAAGGATTTCACCAGTGGTCTTATCAAGAATAGTTTGATTAGAGGAACTACATATCATGGGAGTAGAACATTGTAGTTACACCACCTCGAGGGATCTGAAATCCTTATCGTGGTCGACTGCACTGACATTGTAGTGTGTAAAAGGTGTTCAGTGTGTGTAATCTTGAAATTGAAAAACTTCTGTTTGGCCTTTTCTTCTGTTTTAGGCATAATTGTATAGATTTTTACCTTGTATAAATTTCTGTATTCGAATTATATAACGTAGTAACTAATTACCTTCAATGTTGTTTACTTCCAGGGCGTACAATCGCACCCCATCTAATTTTATTATCAACCATCAATGTGCCCGAGTTCCCAAGACCTTGACCCTGGCAGATAGTCTGTTACAAACTCTTTTATTATTACCGTTCACCATACAAGTGTGTTTGTAACTTTAACGGAGTTAGGATTTTGAGTTTATCAGTGTTGTATTCTAGAAAAGCAAGCATAGTAGATTTTGGATAAATTGTTTATAAATATTAAGTGAATTTTTAAACACAAATACACAACAGAACCCGCAGACAGGGTTGTAGCTCTGCCCCTGATGCTCAGCGAACAACTTAATGAACAACTTCATCATCAACAATAATTCCCTATTCTACATAAAACATAAATCTTCCCAGTTATATTATGATTTCGGATAAATAAAGAGACCTCCAGAACTCAGTAAAAAATCATGACGACATGCAGCAGCCACCACTATTCCCACCAGAATCCGAATCCTGGCCAGGAACAATGATCCTAGTTCCCTTTAAAGATTGTGACTTCCCATAATCAGCTCCTGGAGCTGCAATAAGCGTGTTCTTGCTAATGATTTTATAAATTTCTGTTAAAACTGTCATGAATGCACCCTCGACGTTTGTGGATTGAAGAGTTGATGTTTCCATAAAGAAAAGATTCTCCCTTTCTGCGAATTCCTGAGCATCTTCAACTGGTACAGCTCGAAGACTTCCTAGATCACATGTGTTCGCGATGAGCATTATAACTATGTTCTTGTCCGCGTGACCTCTTAGTTCCTCCAGCCATCTAGCCATATGATCGAATGATTGACGTTTTGTTAAGTCATAGACTAGCATCGC